GATGAATTCGGCAAGAGGCCACTTTCCATTCCAAGGGCATGAATACTGCATTCTGTAATAAAATAGTTTTAAATTTTGATGACCCAAAATGTCATATATTAAATGTAAAAGTTCATATGACCAAAGTAGATTCAATGAAATCTTTAATTTCGAAATCAAATTATTTCTTCTGACTAGAGCAATAACAGGTGAGTAAAAATTTCGATTTTTTTTACACTAATAATGTCAGCTTTAGATGTACATTATATTACTATTGAAGAGAAAAACAAATTGCGCCTCGATCACGTTATTTTCATTGTCTGAACTCTCATCGACCATCGACCAGAGCTCTCGACCAATTAGCGCGCAAGAAATCGCTCAGTTATTGTTCAGTAAAAAGGTATCTTAATTTGCCATTAAGTCAACAAAATACTGACAAAAATGCGTGGCGTGGACGTGACCGACTGTGGCTCAATATTTTCGAACTGCTATGGTTTTGGACACGTGATTTTCGTTTCGGGTTGTTTTACATATTAGTGTGCACTTACGGCCCATTTATTATGATGATTGATCACGAGGTTATTTTATTCCTCGCGCAGAAGCGAAGGCCGTCACGCGAAGCGAGGTTTATAAGTTTGTCGGAATTCGCCTCGCGCTTGACTCACACGAGGATCGCTGGCTTTGGCTAGATATATTTTCTCTCTCTGCCTATCGGTTTCAGCCGTCCACAGTTGCTTAGCAACAAAGAAGCCACGAAGCAAAACCGCCACAGACGTTGCACCCGGCTGTTTTTAGTGAACGTTTTAGATGTAAAAAAATGCTTAGATATAAATTTCAAAGTCAGGCATTCTTTAAGAGAGAATGGAAGCGATTTGGACCATTAGCTTCAAAATAAGAGCGAAAATCGAGATAAGAAAACATGTTTTGCGTCCTACTTAGCAGACAATTTGTAACGGCTTTGTTGCGCAAAGGCTCGTGTTTCATACAGTTCACTCAGCTTCAGGTTCCATGGAAGGCTTTATAATAAGTAATTTATATATATATATTTTTTTAAAATTCGAATTTATTTCCTCATGTAGCGTAATGGTAAAGAATTATCCCAGTGAACAGAAAGTGCTGTGTTCGATTCTTGGGAAAGAATTTGTTGTTGTTGGTTTATTTGTTTTGCTTTGTCATATGTTTTCTCTTCCTGTTGGCCTCTCCTTTACGAGGTTCTGTAATTCACGTATTTCTAGTTAAGTATAATTATACTCTGGTCGTGGCCCATGTTTGTCACCGAGCTCACCTTCGCACTTCGAACGAAAGCAAATCAAAGTGCTGCCACAGTCTGAGTCATTGTTGCAGGTGAGAGGTCTTAGAGTATTCTCCATGTAGTTTGTAAATGAAACTTGTCTCATATCTTCAGGGTGGGAAGCGTGTGTTTTATCATTCAGTTCACACCATCTTTTCGTCCGATAAAAGTTGCTGCTATGGCAACCGGGATGTTCTATGCACCGAGAGATGCAGTGTTCAATCAACTCTGCAGGCCCGGCCTTGATGGCGTGGTTTATAAGCACGCGATCTTGTACGGAGTAAGATGCTGCTTTGCATTGACTTGCAAAAGCCACCTTGGCAAACCAGGAGATGACCAGGTGCAGAAGGATAACCTTGCAGGTGAACTTCATTTCTGTCAACAAAAGGAAGGGAAATTCTTTAACTTCTAGATAACGTGAACAAGCAACGACGAAATTTATTTTTCTTTTCGCTCTTGAACTTGGATATGGTTCCTTTGAATTCAACTCCATTTGGGTTCGCCAAAATTGGACAAAGTAAGTAGACAGGAATAAATAATCCCAAAAAAATACTGAATATCCACAGCAGGCTCGCGTTAAGGCAGCAATTTTAAGCGTAACCAAATGCGCGAGAGCCTAAACTTGCTTTCAAACAGGATTTACATGTTTAAAGTTAATTTATTCGTCCGTAGCGCTGGACGGCGGCTCGATCAAAGAAGTAGAAGGATGCTCGCAGTGGTTTCTCTCCCTTCGTAGCGTAGCGTCCGGCCTGGAGAAACCACTGCTTGCAGGGTATGCAAGTGTTTGATCTCAGATGAAAAGTTGGCAGAGGCTTATCTGGTGTTTCATATATATAGGTATCAAGATTCCTCCACCTGATCCAAATGGTCGTCATTTATTGGCTTTTGACTACATGAATAATTAATGAGTCTTAGAACCGCTGGTCATACTTTGACTGTCATGCGCTTTGCCTCATCCAAGGTTGTGGCATGTGGCCAAGCCGAGGTGAAATGTCGTGCACAATAAGTATGTTATAGATAGAAAGAAAAAAAGCTGACACTGACTATACTAAGTGCTTTCATGCTGCAAAACTTGTTTATCTTTATTGCTTGCCAAGCGCCCTCTTCTACTTTGCATTCTGACAGCCTGTAGTACAGGTCTGGAGCTCAGCTCGCAGTTCCTCGCACTTGCACTGTATATTGAAGCGTTGCATGTTTACCAAAGGACGAATGATCCTACTGAATCTATTGCACAAGTGTTCAACTATGGTACATCACAGCCGATGCGCATGCCATACAGTTCAACTCGCATGCTTACATGCCATCTCCATGTTAACACAACAAATCGCACGTACCTGGCCCGGAAATTTGCAGCGTGTGACACGGTTGTGTTTTGGTCCGAATTTCCAGTGAAAACCTACAAGGAGAATAAATCCATTCGGCGAAAGCGTTTACTTGTAAGCATTCCGTTAATGATAGTTTAATTGAAAGTCGTCTTTGAAGGTAATAAGCTAAATCGCAAATTTTAGTTGCGCTCATTGGAAACAAAGTCAGGTGGCTGTATTAGATGTACAGGTTGTCATATGACGAGGGACACAAGTTAGAGAGGAAAAGGTAGGACATTTTCATGTTAAAAAGCTTATTCTAAATAATAATTAGGGGACACAATAAAACTCAAATCCATTGCATCAATAAAACGAACAAACAAGTAACCTTGCGCTGTTACTGAAAGATCATAAGAAACTGGCCATGTCACGTGTCGAGTTGCTTGTGAGATTCCTCTTGAAAAAAAAGCATCACATACCTTCACGACACCATTTTCCTTGTACTCCTCCCATTTGACGCTGTCTGAACTGAACGAAATTTTGTATGACGTCACCCATTGAGGGCGGGAAGGCCTCCCCTGTGTGGCAAAATTTGTCAGCAGCCTTTCCTCCCCGAGATCAATTTGTAACCACTGGCCAGCTTCCTTTAAATTCGCTGACCAGGAGCCCCAAAACTTGCCGTTTGGAACATTATTGAGACGTGCCAGCCAAGCTCCGTGTCTGTTATGGGTCCCATATACCGAGGAGGCTGTGATGGATGAATTCGGCAAGAGGCCACTTTCCATTCCAAGGGCATGAATACTGCATTCTGTAATAAAATAGTTTTAAATTTTGATGACCCAAAATGTCATATATTAAATGTAAAAGTTCATATGACCAAAGTAGATTCAATGAAATCTTTAATTTCGAAATCAAATTATTTCTTCTGACTAGAGCAATAACAGGTGAGTAAAAATTTCGATTTTTTTTACACTAATAATGTCAGCTTTAGATGTACATTATATTACTATTGAAGAGAAAAACAAATTGCGCCTCGATCACGTTATTTTCATTGTCTGAACTCTCATCGACCATCGACCAGAGCTCTCGACCAATTAGCGCGCAAGAAATCGCTCAGTTATTGTTCAGTAAAAAGGTATCTTAATTTGCCATTAAGTCAACAAAATACTGACAAAAATGCGTGGCGTGGACGTGACCAACTGTG